AAACCTGATTGTAACTTTTGTTACTTTGGTTTTCTTTTTTATACTATCATGATTGAACGTTTTTGGGGAATAAAGAATGAGGGCTGCAAACGAGTCGAGCTCGAGCGAGTTGGAGTTGGCTCAGCTCAACTCATATGAAAATTCGAGCAAGCTCAAACTAAGTGAAGCTCATGATCGAGCTATACAACATGACTCATGCTCAGCTTGTAACGATCTCGAGTCGATCTCGAGCTAGTTTCAAGCTAAATGAGATGGTAAAAATTATAAATCTATGGATGAAAAACAAAAAAATAAGGTGAATATGCTGGGAACCTTTTGCAAAAATATAGGATATTTAACACATAGTCGACCACGTGCCATAATTAGGCCTAAATCTTCTCTGCACTTAATTAAGTTTCCATGTTCGTTGGTAAATAAAATGGAGAAAAATTATGAACAACATATATGATAATAAATTATCTTATTTTTATTTAATATATGGCATGTTCATTTAACATAATAATATTCTGTCGAGCTATCGAGCTAAAATCGAGCGAGCCAACATTGGCTCAAGATCGGCTTGTTTCTCGGTCGAGCTACATAAAGTGTTCAAACTCAGCTTGTTTCTTTTCGAGTCGATCTTGAGTCGAGTCAAAAGACGAGTCGATCTCGAGCGGCTCACGAGCCTCGAGCTTTTCTTGCAGCCCTAGGCGGGAGGCTGGATTACCCTGCTTTTTCAGACAGAAAATAACTATCTCAAGTCGAAGAAGAGTAATTAAAATGATGTAGGTTGCCGTTCACCGACAGGTGGGCCCACACCCCGCTGCTTCTCCTCCCCTTCCCATCCAGCTCTTGTTAAGCTCGACATCCAGCAGAGAGTAGAGTCCACACAGACTTTTCCCCACACACGCGCGCCAACAATCCCGAGGCGGCGGAGCAACCGAAGCATTCCCATGGCTCGCACCTCCTCGCAGTCGCAGTCCTCCGTGGCCGGCGCCGCCGGCGCCTCCCGCCCGGCCACCGTCGGTCCCCGCGGCACGGCCGCCGCGACGGCGGGCATGCGCCGCCGTCCAGGCCGCACCTCCTCCTCCTCCGGCGCGGGCGGCGGCGGCGGCTTCTCCGGTGGTGGGAACAACATGCTCCGCTTCTACACCGATGAGGCGCCCGGGCTGCGCCTCTCCCCCACCATGGTGCTCGTCATGTCCGTCTGCTTCATCGGCTTCGTTACCGCGCTGCACGTCTTCGGCAAGCTCTACCGCTCCCGCACCGCCGCCTCCTCCGCCTCCGCCTGATCGGCTCCGCTGGCCCGCCCGGTGGTGACCTTCCTGCTTCTTCCTCTTCCTCAGCTCAGATCAGATCAGATGGTTTTGGTGGGTAACAAGGATGATAGTTTTTGTTGTTGCTGATCCTTTCTGGGTTAGATCTGCCAAAGATGCCTTTTGTGTGTAACAGATCCAAGAGGCTAGCCTTGCTTCATCCTTACTTCCCCACTTAGATCTGCCAAGCAACTTTACTAGTTTAAATTATGGTGCCCTTCTGTTTCTGTCTACCTTGTTGCGATGAATTGTGGCTAATCACCTGTGAATTTGCAATCACCATACTAGTATGTGATATGTGCCTTGTGGGGATTGAGGGTACAGTTTTGCAACTTGTTCTGCCGACTTAGATGTGTCTATGAGCATTCATAGTGCAGTTTTGCATCATGCTAGCTCCATCTTTTACTTAATTGTTATAGTTACTGCATTTTGGAGAACCGAGTATCTGTTTCGAAGTATAGCTCACCTTGTCCATCTGGGAGAAAGTAGAGCTAGCCTAGTTGAGCTATGCATGAAGGAGCTATGTTATTTGTTTGGTGAATACGTTCAACGCTCACATTGTGCAGCATCTCATGAGCAGTTCGTGTCCTTAGCAGGGGCACCAAGTTTGTTTGCCGCTGATTTGGCTCTCCTAACCAGGCAATGATTTCTTGGTCGTTGAGAGCAATCTTGCCAGGCTTAAGAAATTTATCATTTTACCAAATGCCTCCCCTTGCCAAGCTAGGTTATAACTTCTTTTGCCTTAAATCCAAATACACCCTGAGTGCTTCTTTCTATTTTTAATTATAGCCAGAGCTTTGCAATAGTGCCAGAATTCTACATCTACGCCGTGCACTGGCAAGATGGTGCTTCCTTACTAGAGTTATTTTTTTGGCTACTCCTTGACGATGGCTATTTAGTTATTCTAAATTTCTGAGCAGTTGAATCTCTTTGAAAATGTCTTGTCAAAATGATATGTGTCTTTAAAGGATTTTAGGTCTTATAAGTTTACTTATAGTTAGAACTTAGAACCAAGAAGGCCTGGTGTTTCTTCTGATATGACTATGTGCACAAACTACAGGCTGATAACAAGGCCTCTTAGGATTTTTCTCAAGTTGTATTTAAGTTTTGAAGGATATTGCCTCACGTGTATGTTTAGTTAAGCATTGACAGCAATAGCATACATGTAATAATAGTTGCTAATCTTGCCTGCAATAAATATCCTCTCTATATTTAGTACTCCCTCAGTTCCAAATTATAAGATGTTTTAACTTTTTTCTGAATCGGAGGTACGTATATAGTTACTCATTAAAGTCCGTATGTAGTCCATATTGAAATATCCAAAACATCTTATAATTCCGAACATAGGTAATACAATAGAAGCCATGTTCACGATGCTTTGTTGTTTGTCCTGTGGTATAGAAGTATTTAGTCTTTGTCAGAATAATGAATGTTCAATTATCAACTAGATTTATTGTCACTAATCTAGTTACTACCTATTAAATCTGGAATATCATGCTTATGCGACCATTGATGCAACATTTGGCACATGTCGTGTTGGTATTTTTGGCGAGGTTGCATGTTCATAGTGCAGTTCTATTTGTTTGAGCCTATTGCAAAACCTGCGAATATACTACTTTTCAGAGAACATATAGTTTGTTCGATGTAAGTGGTAAGATGTGCATTTTGTTTTCACTGGAAAAAGTAGTCAAACGAAGGCATGAAATTCTATGGTGAAGAGAATTGCGTGCTCATATGCTATCGAGAAAATCATGTGTTTTTGCAAAGGGGAGAGGTTAGATTTGCATACTCATTAGCAGTGGTATCGAGAAAAGCATATGCTCGCCGAATTGGATGCACTTTCTGCACAGGCCAAATGGATTAGCTGATTTCTGTTGTTCAGGGATCCCTGCCAAATCCATGTGTTTTCTTCTGCATGGTGTGATATCCTATGGTCCGTCCTGCAGGTTGTCATTCCTGCAGGATGACAAGTTAAGCAAAGCTTTGCACCCTATTTTTCTTGTACTCCCACCAATATAAGACGTCTCGTCTTTTAGCCTAGTTTAGTCTATATAAAAACATTTTATATTTTGGTAGAGAGGTAGTATTGCTAATGATAAGTTAAGCAAAGCTTTGCACCTTTTTTAAGAAAAATAGTAAATGATCCTGATCTCCACTGAGCAACTCCGACACGTTGACCCAAACGGACGCGCGCTTTGTCCGCTTTTCTTCTGTTTGGATCGGCTAGGCGGACGTGCGCACCCGCTTTTTGATTTGGTTCGGCAGGTGCGCCCAACGGGAGGCATACCCATTTTTGCGGACGTGGCCGAAAAAGACTTAACCAAGCATAATCTCTACTCCTAAATATCTCAGTACTTAAGTCGTTTGTTACCACCCTCCCATCGATCTCCCTTCCCTGCTGATTTTTTTCCTCCCTCCGAAAACCGAGACTGGTTTTTTTTTTAGGGTAACCCAAGGGGTTAAACTGACTCACTGCAGTCTTTTGCCAGACTCTCTTTCAGTTCATCCGGGACAGCTCCCAGCAGGAGGAAATCCTCCTTATCTCTGGCTCTAGCGGCTAGGCAATCCGCCATCCTGTTTTGTTCCCTTTTGATCCACTTGACAGTGTATGAATTGAAGTTTTCAAAAGCGCACTGATGTCGACAATGATTGGGAACAGGCGGGATGTGTTTGTGGATCCCGGGGCCAGCAGTGTGTTCAGCGTTTTGTTGTCTATCTCAACCTGGACCGCTCCATTATAGTATCTGGCCAATTCCTGTACACCATGCAGTAGCGCCAGGCTTTCTGCTTCTTCTACTGACTCACACAGTCCCAGCTTGCGTCCCATCGACAGAAAAACCAGCCCCTTGTCATTTCTGGCAATGGCACCTGCGGTACTCATTCCTAAGGTCGTATCAAAGCCCGCGTCAGTGTTCAGTTTCGCCACTCCGGCCGGCGGCGGGATCCATTTATGACCAGTTGGGCCCGGCACTGATTGGTTCTGTCCCTCAAAAAGGCTTTGACAGCAGATGTTCTCGACTGTGTTGGACTTGTCGTATGCAGCTTTAATTTCCTGCTCATACTTGATTAGGAATCCCACTGATCTCGAGATGGCTTCGGTGCCATTCCCATGCACAATATTATCCCGAAGGAACCATGATCTCCACAGCAGTAGCAGGATTTTACAGCGCAAGTCCTCATTGCAGGCACAAAGCAAGTTCTGAATCCAATCTTTGCCAGTGTACTAGAAAGCCCTCTCCTTCGGCAGCTTCCAGTGTGCTCGCATCTCATGCCGAAGAGCTCTGCTTTTTGTACACGAAATGACTGCATGATGTTCATTTTCCACTGCTGGTCCACAGATATCACATGTGTTCATCGTAGCCAAGGTGCGTTTCCACTTGTTTTCCGTGGTTGCCAGCATGTTAGTGGCTACCCTCCAAGCAAATATTTTTACCTTCTGAGGAACTTTAGCTTTCCAGATTACATCCCAGATACTCCTATCATCCACACTTGCAGAAGAGCTGGAAGATTGAGGGCCGGATTCCTTTGTAGCCAGTGCTAGTTTGTATGCACTACGCACTGAAAAGATCCCGCTGTTTTCGTAGTGCCAAGCCACACAGTCTTCCACCTCACGTTGAGGTATCTTAATTTTAACTATTTCTGAGGCGTCAACAGGGTTGAAAATCTGCCTGATTATGTCATGCTTCCAGGATCTGGTTGTGGGTTCGATTAGTTGGTTTACCCATCTGATCCTTGTCCTACAAGTGAAGCTAGCAACTTTGAGTCCTTCCCTCCTTGGTATCCACTGATCCCTCTGAACCTGGATGTTCTTCCCGTTGCCAACTCGTCAAATGAGTCCCTTCTTAAGGAGTTCGAGACCAAATTCAATTCCTCTCCACGACTGCGAAGCCTCCGTCGCAAAGACAGTGTCCAACAATCCCCCTTTAGGGTAGTATTTGGATTTGAGTACCTTTGCACACAGGCTGTCCGGTCTCTGAATAAGTCTCCAGCCCTGCCTAGCTAGCAAGGCTTGGTTGAATAGATGCATGTCTCGAAATCCAATTCCCCCCTCGTTTTGGTTTCACCATCTTATCCCATGCCATCCAGTGGACTTTCCTCCTACCCTCCTCCTCTCCCCACCAAAATTCTCTAATTAGTCTTTCATACTTCTCACTGAAGCCCATAGACAACTTGAACACCCCCATGGTAAAAATTGGTAGTGCTTGGACGATCGACTTTACGTATACCTCCTTTGCAACATAGGACATGTGTCTTCCCGAGGAGTTATTGCATCTTTTCCTGAACCTATCCATAATAGGCTGGAAATTGCCATCTTTCATTCTGCCCTCTGGAGTTGGCAGCCCAACGTACTTGCTCTCAAAAGTAGATGTCTCCACATCTAAAATATGTTTGATTTCATTTTGTGTCACCTGCGGACAAGCATCCGAGAAGAGCACCGAGCATTTATTTGTGCTCAACAGTTGGCCTGTACCTCTCTGAAAGATGTGGAGGGCCCGCTTTATCTCCTCTGCTTGTTCTGTCGATGCTTTAAAGAACAATAGACTGTTGTCGGCGTTCTGGGAACGGGGGTCCCCAGACTTGCCTGCCTGCGGCCTAAGGCGTGGCTCAAAGGCAACCCAGCACAGCCCATCTTCATCAACACAGGCTCAAGACCCTCGCGAGGGGCCAAGCCTCGCGGGGAGGACGACAAGGAGCTTCCTCAGGCACGGCCTCGTCAAGCTGGCTCACGAGGAGGCGGAGAGTTCAAGGCGGGGTACCTCGCGAGATGCCCATTACGCAAGCCGTGACGACCAAGGGCTCCAGTCGGGCGCCAGCCCGCGCAGTGTCCTCCTTTCCTCTTTGGTGCAAAGGGGGCAAGCGCAGGCGAGAGCATCAAGCAAAGGCATCCATTTCGGTGCAACAAGACCAAGACCAGCCCAACGACAGGAAGGAAGTCGTTGTGGAGCCCAAGCAAGTGTCACCACCAGAGCCTTTGA